TGCTTTCCCTCCACGAAAGTTAAGCTGGATTTTTCCCCCGATGGAAAGCGACGGGCGCGGCGACTTGATCTGTCAGCACAACACGCCCGCATCTCCTCGGGTGAGCCTCAAAGCGGAACTTGGAGAAGTTGCCGTTGTCTCCCAGCCAGCTCAGCGAAACAACGGATTCCTCTCCACCCTGGCTGGGATGGCTCCGGGACGTTGTGCAATTCTGCGAAATAAACAGGCCGCGGTTTCCTTCCCTCGCCCGGTGCTCCGTCCGACAGCGGGCTGCTTTGCGCTTTTGTTTCTCTCCTCGCCTGGACGCCGCCGCCTCCATTTGCCCGCTGCAGCTTATTTTGGGGAAAGAATTCCCAACGAGCTAACCTGTAAGTTACTCCCGGTCAAGAGATGCTGCTGGCTGAGAAAATTTGACCAACTTTTAACTCGATTGGATGAATCGAATCGATCGTCAGTGAAAGTGGTCGGGACACTGGTACAACAAGCTAAGTCACAAAAAACGAATCAAGGTTAACACCAACCAAGTGTAGCATGTGGTGCCAATGCAGCTGGTAGGTGTTTCAGGGCCCTGGTTAAGCTGCTTGTAGAGATACAGCCAATCTGCCTTAAGGAGTAACTTTCTCTAGAACAGTGTTTCTTAAAATGTGGTCCTGGGGGTCCCCCAAGATCCTCTTGGTTCCACAAAATCAAAATTATTTGCCAGCCTATGTTGAAAGATAATACAATTATTAAAAGCCTATGTTGAAAAGTAATGCAATTATTAAAATCCCATCAAACAATCATACGAAGCAGTTGTGAATGCATCAGTTTTAATTTTTAATACAGTAAATATTGATAAGTATAACCCATACAAACAAAAGCTCTTTTATGGTCCTCCATAATTTTTAAAAGTGGGAAGGAGTCCTGAGAGAAAAAAGTTTAAGAAACACTGCTCTGGAGTAGCTAAACAGTGATACTTAACCTGAGGAGAAATAGAGGATGCCAAGTGTTTTATTTTCATACCACTTCTTAAATTCCCTGTAATTGGTGTGCGCTCTGGATATGGTTAAACTACACTTCTCAGAAGTTCCAGCCTGCATGGCCAATTGTGAGGAATGCTGAGAGCTGAGATTCATCAACATCTAAAAGTCCATTGGTGCCCCATCCCAAGTATACTTCCATTATGGTTGTCATTGGTAGCCTATTTGTCTTGTTTCTTTCAGTTATAGATCACAATCTCCAAACATATTGCTAAACATCTACATATGTTGCCTTTGCTTCAAATAGTTCTTTAATCTCTTTCCAAGAGCTTCTATTGGTGTTAATATGAGTCTCCTGCTCCTCTACGGCTGCTTAATTGTGATCTATATGAATGGGGAATTTACAAGGATGATTGCTGTTAGGAAGGATCATTTGTTCTCTCTATATATACTCTTATCTTTTGTTACAATGGCACTTACAAAAAACAAACTTTGGTTGGCATCAATTGGGTTTACAAATCATTTAAATTTGCTTGATACTGAGCAATAAGCTAGTTACAGAGGCTCAATTCTCAGAAATACTAGGCCAAAAATTGGTTGGCTAGTTGTGGGGCATTGTGGGCACAAAGCTAATATTTTTCAAAGCTTAAATTAGGGCTAGCAGACTGGGGTTCCAGAAATCTGGACAACCAGTAGGTGGTAGCAAAGATATACAGAAAATTAACTTAGCTGACATCCACTGGTCCTCTGAATTTTTACATCCTGGTTCTAGGAGCCCTACTTAACTGCCACCCCAAGAAGAAATTTTCAGGGGAGGAAGCTAAAAAGGGAAGAGTTGATTATCCTCTCTCTGTGCATACCAATCCCTCCCAAAATGCCCTTTCCCCATAACAATTAAATTTGCTACTTAAAGTTTTCATTTCTGCCAAGCTTCCCCCCCCCCCAAGATTCATTCCTATGCTGAAGGAAGGAAATATCAAGTGAAGTTGCAGTGGGAGAAAAGAATTAACCTTCCTTTTCTTTAAAATCTGTGACATCCCAAAATCACCCTTTCCTTCAAAAATTATAGTTATGGAGAAAATTTTAAATAGTTCTAGTTGGTCTCCCTTCTGAAGCGCACATACTTGCATGAGGTTGGGGGGGGATTTTCCTCCAGAAGGGAGAGAAAGAATAGTGGAAAAGAAGCATAGAAGGTATAATGGGAAAACAGAGAGAAATGGTGTTATTTAACAGTCTGGATAGACATTTCTTCTCTACATCTTATGTTTTTGATCCTGGAATTGTGTATACACATGGTTTGTCACCTCCTCTTGAATCTCATTTCCTCTTTATCCACCTCTCCTTGTGTCTGCACAAATGATGCAGGTATAGAATTTGTTGTCCACATTGTCAACCCCAATTCTGCTTCTGTTGTAAGTCCCTGATAGCCTAAAGTGCCCAGTCATTAAAGGTATACTGATTAATTTTCCCATCGATTAATGTGGGAAAACTACCTAGTGGGAAAACATCCATGAATCAGGAGCTACAGCACAAACAGAATGGGTCATTGCACAATTGTGGAAATCCTTCTTAGTTTCCATAAATTGATTTATATGCTCCTTTTCCCACAGCATATTTGGATAGCCCTTGAGTTAAAATAATGTAAGGGAAGGCTCCCAATCATAAACACGTCTACCAAAAAATTACATTATCTGTCCATCACCAGCAAATTCTGGTATACAGAGATAGGCAGAGAGATAGAAGGCAAAAACTAGCCCAGAGAAGAGGACACAGACCCCACAATTATTGTATGTCTAACTACATATTACAGAACTGGATAAGTGAAACCTGCTGTCAGCAACAGGATCAATTATTTAAGAAGGAAAGTGATTGAATCTGACAAATATAGTGAAACTGGCAAATAGTCAACAAAAGCTCATCTTTCATTATTTTTTATACACTGCAGTGGGGAGGAATGGGACTGTTGCAGCTACTCGGATGCCATTTTCAATTTGCATGTACAGTTGCACAAATATGCCCCATGTGACCAGAGACCTGTGGAATTCTGCTTGCCTCTCTTCCATCAGGTTGGAAAGCAGATTGTCTAGTGAGAAATTTGTTTCTAAGACAGGGAGGAGTAGCTGACAGATGTATTAGGAATTCAGAAAAAAAAATAACACTATTGATAGGACAAGTACTAGGAGAAAAGTGGCAATGGCAGAGACTGGCCAGTGACCAAAGGGAAAGGGGTGCTGTTTGCCCAAACCAACTTAACACATGCCCAAATACACCTCTGACCACTCCTGCAAGAGCTCACTTGACCTCACTTCCATAATAGCAAAAGGCAAAGCACTATGAATGTTATACTTCCTGAAACTCTGGTAGAACTGTCAGATTAAGGCCCAAAACATTAGGGCTGTGCAGTAATCTGGATTCAAAGGGGAAAAGGTTATTTGGAGTGTGTGTGGGGGCATATATAGCACCTTTCAATACCTATTTAAATGTGCCATTTCTTGGACTCCCCTGCAGTCCTATGAGAAGATGCAGCTTCTTTAAAGTGCTGCTGTGGTGGTGATCCCTTTATGTAGAGATGGGGAGCAGACAAACAGTCGCCAGTCAGTAGGTAAATCCACTAAAGGAGTAGAATATAGATTAATTTATTCACATCTGCCCCATGTAATAGCTCTTATAAGAGCATTCCTGCACATTCAGGTCATTTTTTCCCTTTGAAGCAGAATTAGTGCGCAGCCTTACAAAATACTTTTATTCTAGTACAGGAAGCAACAACACAAGGTTGTCTAAAGTCACAGGCTAGGTGTGAAGGAATGTAGATCTGACCTTGGGAATGGAGAAGGAATGAACAAGCTGTTAAGAGGGATCTTTGAGAAAAGATTACTCAATCCTGAGAGAGGAATGTGTCAGAAACTCAAAATAACTTTGCCTTGATTTCATTTAACATAAATGGGGCAGAGAGAACCCTCAACAGGCTTTCAAGGTTCTATTATTCCAACCTATTACAATAAAGAGCATTCCTGGAGTCCCTATCTCACCTGTTTCTTGACTTTGCCTACCTCAAAGGGCTGACACTAGGGATGAAATTAGATCTGCATTGTGTAGCCAAGGGGAAACACTGGGTTTCTCAGGGTATTGTAGTGCCACTAGTATATGTCTCTGTTCTGTACTGTAATACATATATAATGAGATGATATTAAATATTGATTTTCCTAATGTCCTTGCTTATATTTTTACCTGTGTGTAAGGGTGAAGAGGGAAAGATTAGATTTTCTATCAAATAGACCAGGCCAGATATAAAGGACCAGGGTTTCTGAAGTAAATACAAACTATGAAACATCTGCCTTTGGTCCTTGTAGGCCCTGGCAAAGCCCCACTCCTCCCTCCCTCCCTCACACACAAACACACACGGAAATACCCTATGTTTCATATTTGGATTCTACCTGTTGCTTGTTCATTTTCCAAACAGCTATTGAAATCAATAGGATATACTTTTAAGTATAAAAAGATAGAAGTGCATGGTTCATGAAGAATTTATGAAATATAGGCTGTGCTCATGCAGAATACTTAGAGTTAATTTAACCACAGCTTATTCAATTCAATTTTCATTAAACCATAAATAAACTATGTTGACTGGTTATATGGCACACTAAGCTAATAAAGATAATGCTTTGCACAAATAACTCTATCTGGAGAGCATATAGTCCCAACATTTTTTCTACCTGGAACCTCAGTGCTTACCTTGTTATGGGAAGAAACAAGAAGCTCTATTCTACTTCAGCAACCAGAAGAGAGCATTCCACATAGGTAAGTGAAAGTATGAGCAATAGTGATATAAAGTAGAACTGCTG